TCAAGAGGATGCTTGTCGCACGACGTCATTATAAAAACCCGGCAGAACCTTCGCGACTCGTCTCGGGATTGTGCTTCGCGTGATTACGCGTTTTAGCGGATACGTGACACACAGACTCAGAAAGATTGAAGGAAATAATAATCTAGGGTAATTCCGATATATAGTACGCCGCATTTAACAAAAACTTTAATTTATTAAGTATTATTTACTATTTTTAAGATAAATGGACTATAAATCAGTAAAAACTTTGTACTGTCTACTAGTATGAAAAAATATTAGAAATTCGAAATACTTATTTTTCGTATTTAAAAAAGAACTTTTTGAAACCCCCTTGCATTTTTGCCGTATATCCCATAGGGGTGGGATATATAACTACTCATAGGGGGAGGGAGATATGTTACAGTTCATGAAAAATTTACAAATAATGTTTATAAATAAGACGTAAAATGACAATAACTTATAAAATATAATAGATAATAATTACAATCTTCCTACATATATTACAAGTGTTATTATACATGAGGTACGTATTTCATGTAATGTGTTTGTTGCATTTAGTGCACTCAATCTGAGCACTTTGTATGCTTTGGGCATAAATCGCATCCACTGAAAATGCCATATACCAGACAGGTGGAATATGCAAGACAACAAATTAAACAAAGAATACAAGAGCAAAGCACTTGTATTTTGCTATACAACATGCTTTACTATTCCTCTACACTTATGTATCACGAAATAATCACTAAGGCCCATTTTCACAATATATGATTACCTAAAGATTGAAGGTTACCAACAAATTCATCAATGAAATTTATTCATGAATTTCTTGGTTACCTTTAATCTTTAGGTAACCATATATCGTGAAATCGGGCCTAAATCTTTTACGCGTCCTATAGTGATCATTTTATGTAGATTATAATTTATGATGACGGTACTTATTACAATGACAAATCGATTCAACTCACAATAATTTTATTAATATTGACAGTAAGAAACTGAAAACATAATACAATACTAATATAACATAAAGGCATGTAACAGAGTAGTTGCGGAAAAATTACCTCCACTCCTATTTCTTCTGACTTCTGCGGCGTAAATCCCAGCGCGGCGTATTTGCCGGAGTTACCCTACATAATTGATGGATTACGCGGGAGAGACGAGAAGCCCGCTCTTTTTGTGGAGCATACGTCCACGCACGCATTCGCTTTCTCCAGAATTACGTCACACCGATGCACGCCGGTTTCTTTCGTCTGATCGGTCGCGACGCGTGTCTCGTCCCAGGACCAGGCACACCCAACACCCAACCCTGGTGCGGTTGCACGCGAATTCGCCAAAATTCTTTTCATCTCCGATCTCTAAGTACTCTTGCATCTTATATGCATTTTAGTATTTGAGTGTCTGAATATCAAAATACTCGAGTATTCGCTGCTTAAATACTCAACTATTCAAACACTCGATGCTTATAGGTACTCAAATATTAAAGTGCATATGCAACATAAGATGCTACTTGATTGTGCGATGGGCTTTCTACAATAAGTCATTACCTAAACTTTAAGTCTTAAGTTATAAAAAATGAACCAATCATAATCGATTATTCTTCTCACATTCGACTGTGATTAGTTAATTTCTTATGATTTAAAACTTAAAACTTAGGCAATAGCTTGTTGTAGAAAGCCCATGACATATTTTTGAGTATTCAAATTCCATTTACCTAAGCAGAACAATAAGTCATCATGATGTCAAAATGACTCCAAAATGATCATTAAGTCATTTTTCAATCATTTCCGATTTTCAATCATTTTAATGTTATCGTGACTTGTTGTTCTGCTTGGGATATATGTATACATACTATATGTTGTCAACAGTGTTACAGGAATCAAAAATTGTCTAAGTATACATAAGATAAATCATATGCAAATATGTCTTAGATAAGACGAAGATAATTTTGTTTTAAATTTATCGAGGTAAAAGATGAAATTAAAGTCGTTTTATCTACATAATTTAAAAAATCGTTTTTAAGTAACTATTAAGTAGTAAAATAATTTAGTAAAATAATTTAATAAAAAATATATTCATGTTTTAAATATACCTATATTTTTATTTACAAAAGTATATACTTTTGCAACAAATAAATTCAAATGACTTACTATATATTCAAAGATAATATATACATGTGCAAAAAAGAATTTAAGAGAAGAATATAGCCGTAATGAGCCAATGCAGATATTAATGCGCCAATATACAAATTAAATTTTATTCTTAAAAAATATACATAAATAATAGCGATTTCGGCTGGGATGCACTAATGCACATAAAGCTGTCATACACAATTGCCGTAAAAATGTATTAAAAACAGATTAAATCGTACAATCTCCGATACATTTTATTATACTGTTAATAAAATGTATTTCATAATTTGCATTTCGTTTTTGCACTCATAGGCTGGAATCCATAGTCCGGTTTTAATCTCAAGCAATGGCTGCGTTCAACAGAAAAAGCAGTTTTGCAACTGTTGTAAAATTTTTGAATATAATTGGTTTATACATTTAGATCCAATGAGGAACTAAGAGCAAGACCAATCATATTAAAGAATTTTACAATAGTTGCAAAGCTGCT